TTGCAGCTTTAGCATTTTAATCAGTTTTACTGTAGTAAAGTCTTTTTTAGACCTTTTTAGCCTTTTTTAGTCTTTTAAAAGACTTACCCAGTCTTTCACTGTGTAAGTCTTACTGTATAATCACAGTGAAGCAAATGCATAGACTTGTGCTTAGATTTTTGCTGAATAGGAATGAAATGCCACTTTAACATTAAGCACACGTAGAAGTAGCCGTACCTGGTTATATTGAAAATAAACTGGTATCACTAAGATAAAATTCTGTATGCCTGAAGAGAGCTTGAATGCCCAGACCTTAGAGAGCAGCTTCTCATGTCAGCTCTTCAGCTTTGCTTAGCCCTGGAGGCACCTGAGTTTCCACTTTGGTTTGCAGAGTTCCCACATGTCAAAATTCAGGCATACACAGAGACCACTGCTAGCTGCAGATTGGTACCTAATTCCCAAGCATCTTCCAGGGCAATTCAGGGCTGAGATGGTGGTTGCCTCACCTTCAGCTAGGGCAGAAAGCTGGTGGGTCCAGACTGCTTCCTTGGGGTCATTTTAGTCACCTGCTGGTTTATGTCTGGCACAAAGAGCAGCAGGCAGGGGCACGTTCCTCAGAGATTGTGTCCGGATTCAAAGTCTATGAGGTGGGAAGAAGGACAGACGAAAGATAGCCTGGATTTGTCTCACAAAATTATGGGCTCAGCCGTGGCATTCGGTCTGGGGAAAAGTGGGTGCGTACCTCAACTTTTTCATCACAGCATTAAAATAAATAAATAAATAAATAAAAATTCAAAGTATGTGTAATGGAAAATGCATATTTAAACAAAAAAAGAAATATACCATAATGAATCAACCTTTAGCTTTCTTTTTTTTTACAGTCATTATATCTAGTTGTATAGACTTAATGAAGAGGAATTTTCATACTAGTGTTTGCTGTGGCAAGGGGTAAAGACTGTGTGGCACACATCTGACATCTTTGCTGTTAATTAGCTTCTTAGAACTTGTCCCTGTGCAATCACAGATGAACTCAGCACTACTCTTTTGAACACACCTAATCTGGTAACTCATGCCATTTGTGACAGCCTCTAAAAAATTCTCAAGAGTTCTTTTTGCATACTTTTCTCCTAGTGTGGCCTCTGGCATTGTCTATGAGATTGCTTTTCAGTGCTATTGTACTTGTACAAGTATCTTAGAAGTTTGGTATTTAGTTGTCTAGCCTTAGAGTCCTAAAGGTCTGGCCTTAGAGATGTAGCCTGAAAGGTTTAGCCTCCCTAGAGGCTTTCCAACACAAAATGTTTCATATCCAGGATAGAGAGCCCTTAACTCCATCCTTTCCTTTCTTTGAGTTCTCCTGGCTCCTCCTCCCAGCTTAGACCCACTTCCTGCTGCCCTCCTAGTAGCAGCAACAAGGCTTGTTACCTATTTTGAAACCTGGCAAGAGGGGAAGTTGTATATGGAGGATCCTCTTGCCCTTTAAATAAGGCCTCTGACTCAAGAACCTGGAAGGTACTGGAAGTATCTGCTAGGGAAAAAAAAATCTGTATTCCAGCAACAAGAAAGAAGTCATGACCTGTTTAAGATTGCCAGGTTATCATACATCTAACTGTCTGGGAGAATTCACTCTGTGCTACAATGCATGTCTATTTTTTCCAACTATGTCTGCTGGTTTAATGTGTGATATTAGCTCTACAAACCTTTCCCTAAGCAAAACTCAGTGTTTTAAAACCAGATAATACATGTTGTTTGTTTGTTGTCATGTTTCTTTTTAATCCAAGATGCGTATCAGGCTTTCAAACATGATCACTTCCATGGTTATATTTGAATAGACTTACACAGATCTCTCATTCAGTTTGCAAGTTGATGCTTAATTACAGGTGACTATAAGTATTTTTCATGGCAGATATTTTTGGACCTTCATGGGATTACACAAAGTTTGTTATGACATGCAAGCCTCCAAGCTGTGGAATAAGCTAATGCCTTGGGCTGCACAGATATACAGGAGAGGAGCCCTTGTCCCTGTTGGAAGCAGTTCTCAGCAGAGGGCATCTGTGAGATGTGTGGAGTTCCTCGTTCCTGCACAGACTGATTTTGCATCCCTACATTTGGGAATTACTGATGAGGCAGCTTTGCCTCTCATGATTCCAAGCTGACAGAGTCCCTGCTCAGTGGAATCACGCTCCCGGAAATGCTCCACCTGCGCTGGCTAATTGCAGTTTATGCAGAGTTTTTTTCTCACCAGTGAGGAATACGTGTCACACTCTCTCTCCCTCTTGTGCTGAGCGTTGCATCACAGCTGCCTGATGAGATTGTCTCTAGCCTATAGCCTGAAAAAACATCCAAAGAGATGGATGCATTCTTTTGTTTGAAAAGTAAATGATGAACGGTTTACCTGCAAGGATCTGAATTCCGACTGTTTTATGTCAGGGTCTGTGGATCTTTTACCTCTCCTCTTCCCCTCTGCAGGAAATTATATTCATGCTGGTTAAGTATATCCCTCTGCCTTTACACAGACATCTGTTGAATGACATTAGAAGCATAATCTAACTTTCTGTTTCCTTTGAGCTGGAGGCACTCACAGTCTTTAAAGCTTATTTCCTTGCTGTTCAGAGTTCCGGAAATACACAGTAGATAAAATGAAGTGCTGGTGAAATTCAGCAACATAATTTCCCACTGAATATATTTCTATTTCCTCCAGCTTGGAAATTCCATCCTTCAATCTAAAGAACAGGTATAACTTGCTAGGGTAGAAATTCTCCTGGAGGATGCCAGTAGGAGTTTCAGAGTGCAACAAAAAATAAGAGGTCTACTTACCTCTCCCCACACAAACTTTAGGTGAGGTTTACTCCAACAAAAGCTTTTTAAATGTTCTGTCAATATTCCTGCAAGAAGACTTAGCTTTTTGATCTCCTAGCTAAATCAATATTTAAAGACATGTTTACTGTAAGCTATTCTCCATTCACATATGAATCCATTTTCAAACAAATAACTGAAAGGATCACAGTTCATACTCTGGGCTCACAGGGTCAAAGCTACATGTTGATCTAACTGGAGGAAACCAAGCAGAATGATTCAAACTGTTTGCAGGAGCTTGAATATTGGTGGTGTCAAAAAAAATGTGTACGGTCAGTAAAGTAGAGGATACCAGCAATTCTGAAAATTACCCAAGCTGATAGTGAGCCTGGCTCAGAGGGAATGTAGCTGAATTTAACACAGGGTGGAGGAAAACACCAGCTTTATGGCAATTTCTATCAGCTGCTGAGTGGTAAATATGAAGTCTGTAGCCTTTCTTAAGGCAGACACTGACTGTTTCCAGTGGGATTTACTGGATTTTATAGTAGACTAATTAGCATCATATGAATCAGTAATTTACAGAACTGCAATAAAATATATATTCAGGAAAGTGAGAAGAGTCACAAAGATCAATCAACAGATTCAGAGAAATGTAACTTTTAGGAAGCAGTAATACTTTTCATTTAATAATCTTAGGACTATAAGAGGTTATTCACTGATGTCTTCAATTCAGTTCCTGCACTAGACAGCATGCTGTGGACAGGTCATGTATTACTGCACATGTTACGCACTTTGTTCCTGGTATTTTAGCGGCCAAACCCTTTCTTCCACTTCAACATGTCCTCCATATGTTCATTTTCTTTTCTATACCCCTGACATAGGCCCATAGGGCTTCAATGTTTTAGTAATATGAACAACTAAGTTCACTGCAAGCTCATACATACCTCCTTTTGGGAAAAGGAAGGGAAAAAACAGTCCACACAGAATGTTTCTGACAAATGCTACTCTTCTTCTACCTTAAGTGTTTATATTGAAAACATGAGGAGATTTGCCCCCTTTCAGCATATTTCCACTGGTACCTAGATTAATGGATTCTGATGGAAACAGATGGAACCATTTGGGAAACAAGTATATATGCAGGCACTAAGAAGAAAAAAGATGCTACCTCACTGAAAAGCAAGAGACTCTGGGGACAAGTGCTACACTTTGAAGAGGCAAACGACAGTTAATCTCCATTCTCATGTATCATTTACATAGTAAGGCATGGATAAATTGCATCATTTGTCCCCATTTCCTTAGTTGAGACTAGTGTTAGATATAACTTTACAAACCAAACCCTAAAACTTTAGAGCAGCTAATTACTTTCAGTAGGACCTATTCAGCACATACAACTAGATGACAGAAAGGAAATCCTTTCAGCTCCCACCCTCTTGCTACCCACTACCCCGTATTGCAAAGAGAAGTGCTTTCAGCTGGATAAATTGCGAAGATCGGTGCCTGGAAAATGCGCTTCTTCGAGGTGAACCCACTCCCTGCCCGACTTTGCGGACAGCTCTCTGGTTTTGCAGCGACTCTCCTGGGCGCTGGTAGCGGCGGAGGTGGGGGGGGAGCACACGAGGCAGAGGCACCGCGGAAAGGCGGGCGGCTTTGCAGCTCCCTTCGCGCTAGATCCGCCCCGGCCTCTCTCGGGGCTGGGGGCGAGGGCACAAGCCTGCTTGCGCCGGCGGGAGGCCGGGCAGGCTCCTCCCACCACCAGGTATAGGGATGCTGCCTGCACCCTGCCTCCGCGGGCAGGCGCTCCCGAGGGCTGCTGCTGTCTTCATGGAATTCGCTTCCCCCAAAGTTCAAGATTTCGCCTTTCCGCCCTCCAGGAAAGGGGCTTGGCGAAAGAGCTGAAAGGGAGCAGCATGAGTTGGGGTTCTTCCCCTCCCTCTCCTACCGCGCCGGCAGACTGCCTCCTCTGCATTTTTGAGAGAAGGAAACTGGACAGAGAAAAAGGAAGGAGAAGGAGGTCAGGAAGGAAAGGAGAGAAAGTTGGTTCGCTTGCAAAGAGGTGAAGCTTTTCAGTGCTTCTCACTGCATTTTTCATCGGAGCCCTCAGGTCTGTGCAGAGCTGGAGGATGGAGGCAGAGCTGCCGTCTGTGCTCACAGTGATGCCCCTTGGGGGAAATGGGAGCACCCATCCGGAACCAGATACTGTCCTGCTGCCCCCAGCACAGGGCATAGCCATGCTCACCATCCGCTGCGTGATCCCCTCACTCTACCTGCTCATCATCAGCGTGGGCTTACTGGGTAACATCACCCTCATGAAGATCTTCATCTCAAGCAGTGCCATGAGGAGTGTGCCCAACATCTTCATCTCCAGCCTTGCTGCTGGTGACCTACTGCTGCTGGTGACCTGCGTGCCTGTGGATGCCTCCCGATACTTCTCTGAGGAGTGGCTCTTTGGGGAGGTGGGCTGCAAGCTCATCCCTGTCATCCAGCTCACCTCCGTTGGTGTCTCTGTCTTCACTCTCACTGCCCTCAGTGCTGACAGGTAAGAAAGCCGGGCTGCCCCTTCCCAGCCCTCTGTGGCTTGGGCTGAGGCTGGCCGGAGCTGGCACAAAAGGTAAGGCACCCCTCCAATAAGATATCCTCACTCAGACACGTGAGCTGCCTGCACTGATCTTTCCCTCAGTGACTGATCGCGTGTCTGGTACTAACTTAAGTTAAAGGGCTTCTGGAGTTGGATGCACCCACAGCTCTGACTTCCAGGGCACCAGCTGGGGGGGCTGGTCTAGTCCTGGCTTCAGGACCTCTGGAATGGCCCAGGAACAGCCTATGTATTGAAATCTTGTTCATTAAGGGAAGATTTTAGACCTTAAATGTGATTTATGCCAAGCTACGGTGACAAGTCAATAGGCAGTGAGAAGCTTAAACCAAACCCATCATAGAGATATTTTTAATAGGTTTGTTTCTTTCTGCAGAGAAAGTGTGTGCGCATGTGTGCATGCTTACATGTGTGTGCACCTTACCAGGACAACAACTCACCAGAGGTGACTGTGAATTTGGAAGCACCAAACTATTCTGTTCTAATTATCAGTCTTAAACTTTTAGGTCATACTATGCATTTCAGCTTCTCCTGGACACATGGAAAAGGGGAAAAATATGGAAAGAAACACCTCCATCTCTAGTATCTGTCACTTTAGGAAGAAACAAAACACTAGACCCCAAGCTTTTATTCCAAATTAATTTAAATTGAAATACTTAATCCCATATGTAAAGGATTTATATTAACTAGATGGCTGTGGGATTGTGCTTCAGGCTCTGAAAGATAAGTATTGCAAAGGAATTGATAACTTTAAATTAAATTAAATTATCTCTTTCTTCCCTTATCTGAACACTTTTTTTTTTTTTCAGACAAATCAAAATGTTAAATTCCTTCTCCATAGGATTTGTCTCATTTTCTTTTGTTGGATTTTTAGCCAAACAAATTTGTTACACTGGCCTATTATGTAAAGGCTTCAATTTGATAATATATTTTCAAGCTTACTGCAAAGGTTTCTTGAAACTTTTAACTCTTGTTTTACAGAGTATAACTTTAATATATAACTTTTTTTTTTTACAGTCAGTTCAGTGAATCATTTGATTCCATCTAGGAGTACTATTCAGTTACCATCAATTTCAGTGGTATTTGAATCAGAACCTAAAATACTTGTGTGTAAAGCCCTCATAACATATGAAAATGGATTCAGTTTTTTGAAGAACAGCTTGTGAAACATACTTTGAAGTGACTGTAACTCCCCAATTACCTCAGTTAAAAAGTATACTTCAGATCGTCCTTGGAGAGCTAAGCAAATCTTACGTTTTCCTTTCCGCTCTATTGATATTGTTAAGAAGTGTGATTATGGTGTCTTATAATAAAGCTTATAATAAATATATTCCTCCAGCATTTTGGAGTCCACACTATGTACAAATATCAGAAATGGTTATAGTAAGGACTGAACAACTCTGTTTCTTTTCCCTCTCTAGTTATCTTTTCAGTTACTGAGAATAAAAACATTACTTTTTTGTTCAAGCAGAACAACCATTGACTCCAGTGGACAATATCTTTTCTGCTAGATGGCCCATGTCAACTTTCGGTGAAGCTGCCTGGACTCTTGCTTTAATCGAATATGAATAGGACTCTATTCTAGTTTTTTGTACGACAGAAATTTGTGCTGAACTGAAGAGGAGGCTTTGAGGCTGAGGGTTTTTTATCACATTAGTTTGTAGCCAGATCCTAACAGGAGTCATCTTGACTAGGTTCTGTTACGGGGAAACAGTATGGATAATTATGTCAGCAGATGAGAAGTGGTGGCAGCTTCCTGTAGCAAAGAGGTGATGAAGAGGTGAGGCCTGGCTGGGGGTAATAGCATCCCTGAGTAAATGAAGTTAGTACAGGACATGTGACTGCAAATGGGAAACAATGGTATCATTAAAAAGGCTCCATTATAATCCAGTACATGTTCCATCTGGTATACAATAATGTCTTGTCAGTGACATTTTTCACAGAGAGTACTCAAAGTAAGTTTTAATATATGATCATTAAAACCTTTCCTATGTTTTACTTGTTATTGCCACGAGACTTGGTTTCAAGTTGGAAAAGAGACTTAATAAAACTCCATTTAAAGTTCTACAGGCACAAGCACTCAAAAGATACAATAGGCAACAATTTTTAGTATTCTATGTAGTGTGTTTGCCTGAATTCTTTATAAAAAATTCTGCATAGAAAATTACATGCATGTGATATATGTAGCAAAAATTATTTCAGTGGCAATAAATGCTGAACTATCATTGCCTGCCAACAGAAGCTGTAAGAAAGAAAATGTAGTACTCGTTGAATACATATCTTTTCTAAACTTAATTTATTTCATATGACTTTTTGTCACAGAAGTCTCTTTCAGCATCACTAGCTCTTTCAGTGTGACAAACATCCATTTTTTATCTGGAAGCTTCATAATCTGAGTTATTTTTATTTATTTATTTTGTGTACGAACATTGTAGGGCATTTATAGCAGTGCTTCCCAGATTTCCCGAGAGTACACTGTTTAAGATTAAAATTAGCAGTACACAGTGGACCTTCCTGAGATCACCTGACCCCATCCCAGGACTAGCTGCTGGTCCTATCCAACAGCCTTTCTCACTCTTGGGCTCCTGTGGGACAGGCCCTGGGTCTGTGAAGCTGCAGCCCCGCATACTTCAGGGCAGGCGGTGTGGGAGATCAGTGGCACTGGTGGGGGTAGTGAAGGCTCCAACGTGGCAGTAGATATGATGCAGTGGTGGTGATAGGGGCAGAGAAGTGTGCTGGTGTGGTGGAAACGATCTCCCTCTCCTCTCCTTCCTGCTTGGTGGTGCAGGAAGACTGAACCAATGAACCAACCATCCCCTCTCAGTGCCACATGGGAAAAGTGCAAGGACAGCATGCCTTCCCGTCATGGCCAGTGCTCCTGTTCATTTTCCTCTATTGGAGAAGAACTAGCCTCTCTCTAGATATCTTAATATTCCTTTGGTTAAAAAAAAAAAAAAAAGAGAGAGAGAGAAAAAAAAAGGGTGGATTTCAGAAAGAGAAAAACAAATAATTATAGGGGGTGACAAATGAAAAAAAGGAAAGGAACTGAGGAACTAAAACATGAAAAACAAGAAAATAGAGAACAAAGGGGCCACAGGGTGGAGCACCCCCAGAGGTGTGGCAGGAGAAGGAAATAGTAGAGGGGTCCCTGCCAAGATTCCTTCTCCTGGTGCTGGGCAGGGTTGACTTGGCCAGGGCTAATGGATGTTAATGAGAAGATTCCAAGGCTTGATGTGGTCTTGGATGAGGAGGGTAAAAATGAAGAGGTGAGAGGAGAAGTGTAGCCAGAGTGATTGCAACATGACACAACTGAAGAAAAGGTGTGCCAACATCTCTTTCTCACTGCAGAAAGGGTAGAAGTCAAGAATGAACCTAACCTGAACAATGCCTGACTCGAACCGTGAGATTAGCTTGTCCACTGCTCCAGGGAGGCTTTTCCAGTTTACATCCACGGTGGACCTTGAAGTTAGCTCACAATATAAACTGGGCCCTTGGGGCTCCTCAGTCTCTTTTCAGGGTAAGAGATCTTGCCATTTTGTGTCGGGGGAAGGACTCTAGTGTAAAGAAGTGAAGAACTAGCATTAAAGGATGTTTCCAGGGTGTTGTTCAGAGTGAGAGGCCTGGATTTCCCATAGCCTGTGATTTGGAGAGGTGGCTGGAGAGGCTTATGGGGCAGAAGTCTAGGAAGGACTACCACAGCGCACACTCTGGCCATCACTGAATTATCATGTATGCAGATTGAAAGCAATTGTATCCACAAAATTCCAAGAGAGCCGGAATGAATGGACCTTGAAGTTAAAAATCACAACTCCTTACAACAGCCTTAGATTTGTCCCACATAGTCTCTCCCTTTCTCCTTGGCTATTGTTTACATTTTCTTTTTCTTTGGTGAGAATACAGGGATTAAATTTCATTCTGCTACTTTTTGTAGATTGAATTTTCTTTCTAATGAATGGTTTAAATATAGTAGATGTTGCACTCTTATGAAGACAGTGAATCTGAACTGTGCAGCAACTGGCCCTACTACAATTCAAATAAATAGCATCTTCTTTATATTCCTCCTAAAATGTGTGACAAAAAGACGGCTTTGAATACTTGAGTAACCAGGTAACAGAATTATTTTTCAGTAGTGCTGCCACTCCATTTCTATATTTTAATAACAAAGTATTTTAAAAGCTTAAATTTATACTTAAATAGCTAAATATGGTGCCTGCGACATTTAAAAGTATGTTCTGTAGGTCTGAGTAGCTGAACTGTATGATCCAATTGTTGTTTTAGTTCTTTATTTGTTTTAATTTTGGAAGATTGCATTCTGTATTGTGAAAGTGTAAAGAGGTTCAAGAAAAGTTTGGTGCGGGTTTAATAATATATTATCTACATGCTGACTTTTGACTACAACAGATAGCAAAAATGTTTCTAGCTCAGCCCGTGTGTATACAATCTCCTACTTTTCTAGGGACTCAGGGAAATGGTTTGAACACATTCAGAAGTCTGAAAAGGGTAGTGACTTTAGAATTTCTGGTCCTCAAAAATATCTTTAATAAAGACAATTTATTACTTCTCTTCAGAATTCTTTTAAAATTTTCATCTTTTGGTATGTAAGATGCTGATTCAGGATGAAATAATATAGTTATCAAGGCCCTTTAAAATCCTCATTCCTCATTACATGAGGTAGAGCAGCTAAAGCAGCAAGGTGGACATGATTTCCTTTTGAGCTCTAGCATCCAACATTCAGGGACAAAAAAACCTCGAGAAGGAAAGTAGCATTAAATGGCGTTCTGAAAACCATCTATGATTAATCAAGCAATAAAGAAAAAATAATCAAAGGTAAAATGCAAGAATATATGAATAAAAGGAAAATAGGGGCCTAACTGTATATAATAAATGGGAAAACAATATCATATGGAGCCAGTAGAACTATGGAGTCTGTAAGTATAATGATAGAA